CAATCAACCAATCAATCAGTCAGTCAGTCAGTCAGTCAGTCAGTGTGCAGCAGCATGCAGTGAGCATCAGAGTAAACATCAGTGTAAACGTCTAAACAATCGAAGGTCTGTGTCAAACAGAAGCAGCTTTCAGAATCATCAGCAGCTTTTAATGACAAAAATATGTGAGATTAGAGGTTTATATGAGCTGCTGCTGTTTTATCATTTATTAAAGTATCTTCTATTTTTATTACAGCGTTGAAGTATTTTAAATATCAGCCTGAAAACTGGTTCACGGCTGGACAACACGTGTAAGAACCTGTAAATATAAAGAGTTTTATGATTCAGAGTTCAGCAGATTCACTGAAAAACAAAACAAATTAATTATTTTTTTCAGACAAAACCGTGTATTGAATGTTCCACGTTTTCTGCAGATCAATAAAGAAGTGATTTTAAATGCAACGAGTGCCGTCTTCTGTGTTGTTAAATAGAGAAATGTAAAAAAGAGATGCTGCACAGACAAGTTCAAACCTCCTGAAGTGTTGCTTTTAGCAGGTTTCTGGTTGTTTGATGCCTTATTTTGGTAATTTTCTTTCTTTCTTGGGTCATTTTGTGTAAAAGTTTTTGGCCTTCTTCACATTTTTTGAGGTTTGTATTTGATTTTAATTGTTTTGTATCACGTTTTGCTCATTTTTGTGGTCATTTGCATTCATCTTCTTTGCATCACAGTTAGGTTGTTTAAGGTCTTAATGTGGTTGCTTACATTTATTTCTGGACGTTTAGCGTTCTATTTAAGTAATTTTTCATCATTTTGTGATGGTTTTTGTTCACACTGTTGTCTTCTGGAGTGAAGATGAGATAAATATTGATTTCAAATTGCAATTTGAATCAAAGAAATCATGAAATCCCAAAGTCTGCAGTCTTGTTCAGCGTGTCCGACACTGAGTTTAAACTGTCAGTGGGTTTATAAATCCCTGTCGTCTTTCTTGTGTGACAGAAAAAAGCTGAAATCATCTGACTGAACTGATGTTTTCAAGAAAATGAGACTGAAAATAGAGATGGAGAGGTAGAAAAAGCCGCCTGTTTGTTCTCAGAATGCACCACACTTTTATTTCTTTACATAAACACACAGGCAGCATCCATCTGAGTTTCCATGGTTACTGAGCTGATCCAATCAGACAGAGCGATCGGCTCACAGGGAACTGTTGTGAATCTGATGATGAAGATGGAAAAAGATGAAGTGCTGTGTAATCTGCAGCGACCTGAATCAGTCACTCAGATCAATAAAGTTGATGATAAAAGCTTTTCTCTGGATTAAGGCTCCATCTCATCATCTGCTGCTCGCTGAAGGTCACCGGCTCATGATGTCAGCAGCGTTTCACAGCCCTTAGAGCCATAAAAACTTCAGCTATAATCAATACATCTGTAATCAATCATGTCCTCACAATGCAGATGCCATGTCAGACCAGACACCAATAATCAGTATATGAGTAATCAATAATGTCCTCACAATGCAAACACATCCTGTTAGACAAAGAAAATATTTATCAATATATCAGTAATGACCTTAGATTATAAACACATCATGTGAGAAAACAACAATATTCAATAATGTCCTCATAAAGCACACGTCAAGTGAGACAGACAACAATAATCAATATATCAGTAATGTCTTCATAATGCACACATCATGTAAGACAGACGATAATCAATTATTAATAACACCCTTACATTGAACGTGCTTTGTCAGACACCAACAATCAATATATTAATAATCAATACTGTCCTCACAATGCACACACATCATGTGAGGCAGACAATAATAATCAATATATCAATAATGTCTTCATAATGCGCACATCATGCAAGACACAGACAGTAAAATCGATCATTAATAACATCCCCACAATGCATATGTTTTGTCAGACACAGACAGCAATATCCAATTTATCAATAATCAGTAATGTCTTCAGTAGGAACACGTCATGTAGGGCAGCCAACAATAATCAATATATCAATAATTTCCTCTAAAAATCATGTCATTTGAGACAAACAGCAATAATCAATATATCAATAATGTCCTCCCAGTGACCAAGTCAAGGGGGAGAGAAACAGTAATAATCAATACACCAGTAATCAGTGATGTCCATGCACACATCATGTGAGACAGAGACAACAGTAATCAATACATAATCAATATTTTTTTTTTTTTTATAATGTAGACATTATGTGACCCCAGACAATAACAATCAATATATCAATAATCAATACTGTCCTCATTAGGCACACGTAATGTAAGACAGCCAACAATAATCCATCCGTCCATCATCTCTACACCTTCATCCTCACCAGGGTCATGGGGGCTGGAGTCTATCTCAGCTGACTCAGGGTGAAGGCAGGTTCACCTGGACAGGTCACCAGTCTATCACAGGGCTACACTTAGAGACAGACAACCAAGCACACTCACATTCACACCTACGGACAATTTACAATCACCAATTAACCTCAACATGTTTCTGGACTGTGGGAGGAAGCCGGAGAACCCGGAGAGAACCCACACTGCACGGGGAGAACATGGAGACTCCACGCAGAAAGATCCTGGGTGTCCTCACCGTGACGCCAACCGGCGACATTCTAGCTGCGAGGCAACAATGCTAACCAACTGAGCTACCCTGCAGCCCCCAACAATAATCAATAATCAATAATGTCCTCGTGATGTGACACATACAAACCTGTTTCCATCTCGTACTGGGCACATACCTTGAAGCCAGGCCTGAACCGTACCACTGGTTTAACCACAGTGTGGGGACTCACACACCCACAGACAGATACAGTGGGAGGACAGTTTTAAGTGTGACACTACAGGAAGCAGCAGGCCTGGTTCCCATGGAGACGTACCCACAGTAGTCACGTCTCCATCAGTTCCGATGAGCCACAGCATTAAACCCAGCTGTCTCCTCTCTGATTGGCCATTGCCTGGACTTCACAGACTTGTGAAGGTGTTTTGTGGTTTCAGGCAACAACACATTCGCAGAAGATGATCCTGGAAGCTGTGAAGTGGAGCCTCCGTGGACCAGACTTGTCCTTCCACAGTATCACACAGGCACTTTAATCAGATTCAGTTTGGGAGAATTTAGAAGCTGAGTCGACACCTTGACCTCTTTATCATGTTCCTCAAGCTGAATTATATGTTATTATACATGTATATTTTGTGTCATATTTTGTTCATTTTATGACATATTGTGGTCATTTTGCATCTTTTTTGGTTACTTTGTCACACTTTTGAGTCATTTTACGTCTTTTTGTGGTTATTCTGTGTCACATTTTGGTCGCTGTATGTATTTTTGTGGTTGTTTGCATTTCATTTTGGTTGTTTTGTTTCACTTTTTGGTTGTCGTGTGTGTTTTTGCGGTCATTTGTTACCACATTTTGGAAATGTAACATTCCTTTCTGGTAGGTTTGTGTCACATTTTGGTCATTTTGGTTTTTGTGGTTGTTTGTATTATGTTTTTTGATAGTGTTACATTTAATTTTGGTTATTTTGCATCTCATACTGGTTGTTCTGTGTAACATTTTAGCTGTTTTGCATAGTTTTTTGCAGTTGTCTTCAGTTAGATTTTGGTATTTTTTTATTCTTATTTTTTACTTGCTTTGCATTACATTTAGGCTGTTTTACATCTTTTTGTTGTTATTTGCCTATAAGTCAGATTTTTTGTTCTGTCTCTAATTTTTTTTGATTGTTTTGCATTTCTGTAGTCATTTCTATTTACTGTGACTTTGTGTTTTGTGTCACATGTAGGTCTTTGTGTATCTTTGTGGTCATATACATTCAGTTTTGGTTGTTTTCCATATTCTTGTGGTTATTTTAATTTATTTTTGGCTGTTTTATGTCACATTTTGATCATTTTATCACATTTAAGCTGTTTAACATATTTTTGTGATTGTTTTTATTTAGCTTTGGTAATTGTGCATCTCATTTTGTTTATTTTGCATATTTTTGTGGTTGTTTTTATTTAGCTTTGGTAATTGTACATCTCATTTTGTTTATTTTGCATATTTTCGTGGTTGTTTGTATTTTAAATCGAGTAGTTCTGCATCATAGGCCTGATCTGGAGTGGTCTCTGGACCTGTTTCTGTCCCTCTGAATGATTATCCAGCATGCTGAAGTCTTCATCCTCTCAGATTCCCAATCTTGCCTGGTTCTGTTGGATCTGACGCCATCTGGTGGCAAGAACAGACACTCACAGTCCTCCTGAGCTGCCTGGTGGATTGTGGGTGAAGTAGTTCTCTGGTGACCTGCTGAACACAGACAGACTGGGATTAGCACCGGCTTCATCTGAGGAAACCGCTTCTTGTCAGTCACAGGTTTGATGGACTGATCAGTGTATTAATTGATCGGACATCTCAAACACTCAATAATTAACGCAGCAGAAGAAACAAGGCTGAGCTTGACAGATTTATTTTCGCCTGCTGTTCCTGCCAGCCCTGAACAGATGCTATATCTAAGCCTTATTTTTAAATGTTTCACCATCTATAATGTGAAACAGATTTTAAATAGTCGAGCTGGTTCCTAATAAATCAGTGAGCTTTGGACAATTTAGAGAATAAAATACACATTTCTCTTTAGTTTGAATTCAACATCTTTCTATATATAGAAATGTTAAAGACAACTGAGTAATTAAAAAAATAAAAAAATAAATAAATACATAAAAAATATATATATATATATTTACAAGAGCTACTATCACTGTAAGTACATCATTAAGTAACAGAAAAGCTAAATTTTTATTGCTGAAGATATATTAACAAAAATGTCCTTTTTAAATTCATAGTTGTTGATCTATATGCTAACGGAAAATGTTTAATTTTAATCACAGGAAAACATTGTTGGCACATTTTTAGTTTTTCTTCTGCATTTATTTAACCTTCACAGTTTTTACATTGTAGATTTACTATAAAATAACAGAAAACATCCTATTTTCGCTATAGATTCACAAAATAATAATAGCAAAAGTCTATTTTTTATTATAGATTTACCATCAAACAACAGGAATATTATTCACTTTGTTCATGTAAAGAAAACACTAAATGTAGATACATCACTATACAGATAGATGGTTAGATAGACATGTCTCAGTGGTTGTTTGGGGTCATTTTTCAGATTTTAATGAGAAAAAAAAATGTACTTGAGGGAAAAGACCTGCTTGTGTCAGAGGCAGAGGTCACATGATGTTCCTGTGAGCTGCTTTAACATTGGCTGTTTGACCTGCAGGTGAACTTGCTCACCTGTAGTCTGCAGCTCCTTGACTGACAGCAGGGGAAGCTGGGAGATATTTACCTCTTTGTGTGCACGTGTGTGTCACTGTGTGTTATTGTGTGTGTGTTGCAGCCTGTTATTAAAGTAATGTTTGATAGCTTTGTTTCTCCGCTGAACTCTTCAACTCATTTTTTTCAGTTCAACACACACACATACACACACACACACACACACCCAAACAAATGTGCACACACACACACACACATTCAGAAACACACACCCACATAATCCGGTTTCATCGGCTCAGAAGACATTACAATGACTTATATTTCCAAAAGACATTAAGGAAATAAAGCCTGACTGTAACCTTACCTGAACCTGAAAGGAGCACCCAGTCAAGTCCAAGTCCAGGTCCAGGTCCATGTTCAAGTCCAGGTTCTCTCAGTCTGAGAGGAGACTGTAGACAGGTGAACAAGTTATGGACAGGTGAGGAGGTTGTGGACATGTGAGGAGGATGTGGACGGTGAGGAAGACAAGGGCATAGACAGGTGAGGAGGTCATGGGTAGGTGAGGAGGTCGTGGGCAGGGGAGGAGGTCGTGGGCAGGGGAGGAGGTCGTGGACAGGGGAGGAGGTCGTGGACAGGGGAGGAGGTCGTGGGCAGGTGAGGAGGTCGTGGACAGGGGAGGAGGTCGTGGACAGGTGCCAGGTGAATCAGTCTGAGCAGGAACAGAATAATTACCACTGAGGAGCTTTTAGTTTGACGGTTGCAGGATTTATAGTCGAGTGAGTCACACCGAAACCCTGAACCTCCTCGACAGGATCTGATCCTGAAACCACCTCCACGGCGACACTAAAAACAGCATGTTCTCTTCTTTCAACTGGAACAGAGAAAGAATTCACAGTTCTGATCAGACCAGACCGGTTCTACAAAAACTGGTCAAAGTGGGTCCCAAAAAAAAACTTGAGATGATACTGGTTCCATTAGCCCAGGTCCAAACGGTCCAGAACTTTGCATGAGAACTTCTGGTCCAGGCAGAAGAATTATCCAGAAACTGTGGTTTCAGTTCAGGTCTTTCTGGTCTAACACTTCTGTTCCAGGTCCAGCTGGCCAAGAACTCCAGGTCCAAAAGATCCAAAGCTCCAAGACAAGAATCTTGATTCAGTTTGTTTTAGTTTTAAAACAGGTTTGATTTGGTTTAACTTTAGGTTTGGTTTACTTGAGTCAGTTTAGGTTTTAAAACAAGTTCAGATTTTTTTTTTTTTCAGTTTGATTTAAATTTTACACGAGTTTAGTTTAGTTTAATTGAACACTTGAGTTGGTTATTTTTAAACAAGTTTAGTTGGGCTAATTTTATATATATATAAAGTTGGATTTGTTTTTAACAGATTCAGTTTTGTTTCCTTTTTAACAAGATTTTTATTTTTTATTTGAATTCTAGACAATACATTTGGATTTCTTTTTTGAACAGGTTCATTTTTGGTTCAGTTTAAGCTCTAAACAGGTTTCGTTTACTTAAGCTAGTTTAGTGTTAGAACAAGTCCAATTTGTTTTGGGTTTTAAGCAGCTTCAGTTTTGTTTAGTTTTCTGAAACAGATTCAGTTACTTTTGATTGTTCATCAGATTCAGTTTTGTTGAATTTTTAACAAGATTCTTGTATGCAGTTTTTAAACAGATCACAGTTTTAGATTTTAACAATAAGTTGAGATTAGTTTTAAACAGGTTGGTTTTTGTACAGTTTCCAAACCAGTTCAGTTTGGTGTCGTGGCTCTACGATGTTTGTTAGAACTTAATTTGTCTTTTTGTTTTTTTGTTCGTAGCCTTACAAAAATCTTGTTTTCTTTGTTTACTGTCAGATTCAGTTTGTTTATCTGACATCAAAGAAGCTGATATATTTCACATCAGTGGACAAAGTATTGGAAACAGTTGAATCAGCGTCCTAAGAGACAATCAGCTTCTCCAGAAGATGCATCATGATGAGCAGATCTGCAGAACTGGATCTGGATCAATGACAGTTGTTTTGGGGGAGAAAACCCGGATAAATGAAGCTGTTTTAGGTTTCTCCTCTTTTCCTCGTCCTCCTCCTCTTTGTCTCGTCTCAGTGTTTTGGTGTAAGTGTCCTTTAATCCGGCAGCTCATCCAGTTAATCCAGTCAGATAATGGTGAGCAGCGATCAGTTGTTCTGCTCTGTTACTCGCTCTTTAACAGCTTTAAACCGCCAGACTGGAACCAGTCAGCCAGAAGGAACACCACCAGAGAAACCAGTAAACACACCACAAACTGGTGTGTGACCAGTTAGAACCTGGGTCACTGCACAGAACCAGTCAGCAACCAGCTAGAGGCCTGAACAAGAAGGAGCAGGGTCACAGCTGATCAGAAGCATGAAGGGATGAGCGTCCGATTACAGCCTCTGATAATAACGATAAGAATAGAAATACTTTAATATCATTAGCAGACAGAAAACCTGCTGGGACGTCGAATTCATCTGAAACCAGCAGCGCTCATCGTTAGAAATAACCCTGACCCTGATGTTCTTTGTTGATCAGTTGGTTATTTTCATGCTTAGGTGTCAGAAAATGTTAAAAATGTCCAGAAATATTCCCTGAAGTCCAACTGAACACAATTCAAGAACAGAAATACTGAGTTCTAGAAACGTGTTCACATTAAAGAATCATCATTAACAAAGCAGGTCCGTTCAATCACTCCCACTATTGATCTTTTCCAAATAATTCAGATGTTTGAATGCTATGCTGAGACATATTCAGGTTTACATGGACCTTCTCCACAGTTTAACATCAATGGCAAAAACCTCGAAATACACAACAAATATTCTTTATTTGTAATTAAAACCCTTCATAATTCTTTAAGTTTTCATGCTTTGGATCCTTCCTATTGATTCACTTTGTTTATTCTGTGGTTTTTTTTTTGTACTTCTGTACATTTTCAGCTCCTGTGACCAATTTAAATTCAAATAAATGTGATTTTATGTCACACAAACCCTCTGAATGTCGTTTAACCTGTGTCTCTGGGTGGGTTTTTTGAAACAAGCGCTAAAAAATTAACTAAAATGAAGTCTATTAGGAGTCTTATATGAAAGGTTGACAGGTGGAGTCAGACTCAACAACAACAGAATCTGATTTTCAGTTTTGTTAGAAGAGCATTTTTGACAACGTGCATGTTTTTTTAAACTGAAGTCTTGTTTTAGTAGTAAAATTGAACAAATACAATAAAAACATAATTTAAACTCCTCTAAACAACACGTTCTTCATGGTTTTTGTGGGTTTATTTTTTTTTGGCTGCTGTGTATTTTCAGCTTCGTCAACCACATTTTTTTCAAAATAAATGTGATTAAATGTTACAAATATGCTGAAAATGTTCCTTAATCAGCATCTCTGGGTGAATTTCTGGAACCGTGAGCTGCTGAAAATGAAGGAATCCTAAAATTCTGCCTTTCTCAAAAGGAAGAGCAGGCAGGTGGAGTCCCATTCAGATGATTGTTACTATTCTGTGTATTTTACAGCACCTCTGACCACTTTCATAGTAATTATAGAAGAAATTAACTGAATATGATTGAATGTCACAAATATCCTTCAAATGTCCTCTAATCTGTTTTCTGGTTCATTAGTGAGCTGAATAAGGAAAGAATCCTAACATTGAGTATTTTTCAATAAGAGTCTTGAATGAACGGTTTTCAGTTGGATTCACAGCCAACAAACCAAAAATCTGGTCGATCACTAAGATGTTATTGTTTCTCTTTGTTTATTTGGCAGTTCTAGTTCTGCTTCTGAGTATTTTTCAGCTCCTCCGATCAAATTAAGTTCAAATAAAATGCCTCAGAACGTCATTTAATTTGTATTTCTGCAACTGTGAGCTCAAAATTTGACTAAAATAATATCTTTTTTAATTAGAGTCTGGTATGAGCGGGCTGGCAGGCGGAGTCACATCCGGCAAACCAAAAATCTGCTCATTTCTACGTTCGTTTCTGCTTCTGTGTGTCTTCAGCTCCTCTGATCGCTTCAGTTTCAGATAAACGTGATTTAAAGTCACATATAAGCTCCAAATGGGCTGAAAAATTAACTTAAAATGCAGTGTTTTCTGATAGGACTCTTGTATGGAGGTTGGCAGGTGGAGGCACATTTAACAAGAATAAAAAATAAGTTCAGTCTGTTATATGAATGCTGATTGTTACTGTTTTTATTTCTTCCTGTGAATTCAGAACAGCTTCACGTGTTCCAGTCGATCATTTCATGGATCTGTTATCGTTGCAGCTCCTCTGATCAGCTTGATCGATCAGTTTGTCCTGCTTCTGGAACTGTGAGCTTAAAAATGGACTAAAATTCTGTCCTGATTTTGGAGATTATTGATTGTTTTTGTGAAGTTTTGTTGCACGAGGATCACTGAGCTGAAACATGAAGGAACCCTTAAATTGAGTATTTTTAATAGGAGTCTTGAATGAAGGACTGGAGGATCAATTCACATCCAACAAACCAAAAAAAATCATCTCATTTCCACTTCTGTGTATTTTCAGCTCCTTTGATCACATTTACTTCAAATAAATGTGATTTAAAGTCACATGTATGCTCAGAATCATATTTAATTAGTGTTTCTGAAGGTGGGAGCTAAAAGAATTTAACTTAAAATTCAACATTTTTTAACAGGAGTCTCATATGAAGGACTGCTGGAGTCACATCCAACAAACAGAATCTGATCAATCACTGATATTATTGGTCTTTTTCAGTTTATTTTTTTAAATGGGGATTTCTAAGCTGAAACATGAAGGAATCCTGAGTCTTTTTAAAATAGGCGTCTTGCATGAAGGACTGGTGGAAAGATTCACATCAAACAAACCAAAAATCTGTTTATTTGGATTTTCAGCTTCTCTGATCACCTCAGTATCAAATAAATGTGATTTAAAGCCACAAATGTTCTCAGAATGCGGTTTAGTTTGTGTTTCTAGAGCAGGGAGCTGGAAAAGGTGGAGTCACATTTAACAAGAATTAAAAAAAAAAGAAATCTGTTGAATTTGTTTTTCATTCTTATTTTATGCACTAATTTGACCAAAGACAATGAAACGTGCTGTAATGTGGAAACACCTTCACGTGTCCTCATCGATCAGGTGATGGATCCTCCATCGGTGCTCCCATCGATCCGCCTGCTGCTGGATGACATGAAGTTTAAACTCCACCTGGGTGGAGGTGCGGCCTGACGGAGTGACGGAGGTCCGGAGGGCTGGACCTGCCGGAGGAGGAGGACCAGCAGCCGCAGGTCACCATCACCTCCTCCTCCTCCTCTCCGACACTCTGCCGCTCTCCGCTCGGCTCGGCTCGGCTCCTCCACCGGCACCAGGACGCGCAGGCACCGGGACAGGACCGGGAGACCAGGAGACCCGGAGCGGGACCTGCAGGATCCGCGTTCGGGCTGCGGGCTCCCGCCATGCTGGGGACGGTGAAGATGGAAGGGCACGAAGCTCCGGACTGGAGCGGATACTACAGCGAGGAGGTCGGTCACCGTCCGCCGCCGTCCGGCCGCAGGGCCCGCAGCGGGACCCGGCCGGCCCGGTCCGGCTCGGTCCGGACCGCGTTTAACCGATTTAACAGATAAAACAAGTTCTCCAGTTAAAGCAGATGAAGTTGAGACCGGGTTGAGCTCCGGGAAAAACCGGGAAGAGAAAAGCTGTTGGAGGTTTTTATAAAAGTTTTAAAGAAAAACAGAGAAAGTGAAAAGTTTCTGTTCAAAGTGTTAAAATAAAAATTAATCATAGAATAAAAAATATCAGATAAAAATAGGATCCATCAGTAATATAATAAATCAGAGTTTAAGGAGCTGAAATACGCCGAAATAAAAAAAAAGACAAATTAAATCTGTGCGTTTATTCTGAGAGGCAGCTTTAAAGATAAAAAAAAAAACAAAACAAAAAACGGGTTTGAGTTCGTTATTAAATCAGATTCAGTTTAATCTGAGTGAAAATGTTCAGAAAAGAACAAGAAGGAAAACGTTGAGTGAACAGGATCCATCATCAAACTGCGGATTATTCAAAAGTCTGTTTTTCTGATAAAAGGAAAGAAATTAGAGAAAATAAAAATAGTTTATTAATAATAATAAAAAAGTAATACAACTCTTTAAATTGGATGTTTTTATTTATTATTACTATTGTTCTGGTGCCGTTTTTAATTTTTTTAAAAACGGAATCTGCTCTGAACCCGTTCATGTGTTCATGTCCATCTCAGACAAACTGAAGGCTGAGGGTTTATTATTATTATTATTATTTATAAGGATAATTATTAGTATTATTATAAAAACCAGGCGGATTTAAACGGTCCCTTTCTGCTTGTTAAAAACACAAACATCCACTGAAACGTTAAATTTCACATAAACTCAGTTCAGCTCGTCGATGCTAAACATTTCCTTTATAACGTGTGATTCTGTTGTTGATTAAAAAAATCTGATCATTTTCGTGTTTGATTGTTGAACTGAAGCTGTGAGGAGAAAAACGGACTGCAGCTGTGATCTGACTTTATTTCACTAATTTAAGTGAATAATTCTGTCCAAAATAGAAAACAAGAAGGAAAAATATTTCGTGTCTTCTGCGGAGATAAAAGCTGATTTTTAACGTTTAATTTAAAAATGAAAGAAAAGCAGCAGAATAAAGGAAATGATGAGCTGCTGTGGTTCCTGAATAATAATAATAATAATAATAATAATAATAATAATAATAATAATAATAAATCACTTCATCAAATGATTCTACAAGAAAATGCGAGATTTTATTCATAATAATAAGGATGGAGTTTAAGGCTTAGTATTGAGTTATTATAATTATTTAAATTAAACCTTTTTTACAGACTGAATGAAGTTAAACATGTTCAGGTGGATTTTCTTTTCTTCCCTGTTCATAATAATTCAAACTGATGATAAACTTCATATTGTTTAAAACTGTGCAAACTTAGTTCTGTTCATTTTTTAAATTTGAATTGAAGACATTTTAAATGAGTCTGCTGCTGCCTTTGGTTTGTTCAGAGCAGCACCACACCCTGAACGCTCCTTCATCAGGCTGATTTTAAACCAGGCTTGTTCTGTTTTCTTAGCTCTAAACTGCTAAAATAGAATTACTATAAAAAAAAAAAAAAGGAAAATTAATATAAAAGCGCTGTTTTCCTTTAACTGTGCTGAATTTGTTAGTTTATCTCTGCAGCAGCTAATTTGAAGCTTCAGAACCTGAACATCACAGCAGCTGTGAGCGGCTTCACCTGAAGGAGAACCTCAGAACGCTCACTTAGAAATATTACCACTGTATTATTATTATTATTGTTATTATTATTATTATTGTTATTACTAATAAATATTAAACATTTATTCATGTGCTGAAAATATAGGTACAGAGGTCAAATTAAATCATTAAAACATTTTTAAAAAAACAACAAAAAAAAAACATTTAGGGTGCAAACAGTTTTTCTTGCTGCTCTCATATTTTAGTTGGTGAAAGAACAGAGCTTTTAAATGTCCTTTAATGTTAATCTAAAGGTTTTAGTGTTCACATGAAGCTCGCAGCTGTAATAAAAATACACAACAAAGTTTTATTATCACCAAAACAGCAGCAGCTCATATAAATTTCACATCTTTGTGTCCATCAAGCTGCCTTTATATGATGCAGTCAATTAGTTTTGGTTAATGAGATGCAGGTTTACGTGGAAACCAACAGCAGGGGGCGCTGCAGGAGGGTAATGGTATTCAATACGTAATCGATAACTGATCGATCAGGTATTGGGGGTAACTGATGAGCAGGTATTTGTGGTATTTTTAAGTGTTTGTTGATCGGACAATTGAACGGTTGTTGAAATTTTTCTCTGTGAGCTGATCCAGTTCTACTGGTTCTGACTATTTTTAATCTGGATTTTCTGGTTCTAGATGTTTCAGAACCACTTAGATCAGATAAATAACCAAATGAACCTGGTTCTGGTTCACCAAGCTGTAATCTGCCCGAACTGTCTCTGACACGGTTCAACTGGTTCTAAACTAGACTAGTTCTGTGATCTAATGAAACCACTTCATGTCTGTTGAATCTGGTTCTATCGGGCCTTATTTAAACCATGTCTGACCCAGTAAAACTGGCTCTGATCTAACCTAGAAGTATCTAGTCCAGTGCATCTGACTGATTCTAATTGGTTTTGGTTTCTCTGCAGATGTCTGATGTCTGTCTGATGGCAGACAGTGGAATGGGTTCTGGTTCTGGTTCTAACTGTTTCTGGTCTCTCTGCAGATGTATTTTTCGATGGCTGGCAGTGGGATGGCTTCTAATCTGGCTAGTTCTGTTTCTAGTTGAGGTTCTGACAGGTTCTCGTCTCTCTGCAGGTGCTCTCCCAATGGCCGGAAGTGGTATGGGTTCTGGTCTGACTGGTTCTAATTCTAATAGGCTCTTGTCTAACTGGTTATCATCTCTCAGTAGGTGTACTTTCCAATGGGAGGGTCGTGGGATGGGTTCTGGTTCTGATTCTAACTTGTTTTGGTCTTTCTGCAGGTGTACTGCCCAATGATTGGCAGCAGAATGGGTTCTGGTTGTGGTTCTGGTCCTAAATAGTTCTGTTCTCTCTGCAGGTGTACTCTCCAATGACAGGCAGTGGAATGGGTTCTGGTCTCGGGATGGGATCCATGTCCGGTTACATGTCCAGCAGCGGGACCACATCAGGCTCTTTCAATATGTCATACAGCGGTACGGGTCTGAGTCCAGCCCCGGTCGGAGGGATGGGTGGCTCGGCACCGTCGACCATGTCCGGTCTGGGCGGGGGTGTGGCCTCCATGGGTGGGGCCCTGAGCCCGTCCAGTATGACCTCGGTGTCGGCTCAGCAGGCCTCCATGGGCCTGAACCCGTACGGCGGTATGAGCCCCACCATGAGCCCCGGCATGGCGTACGGCGGCGGCGGGCTGAACCGAGCCCGCGACAACAAGGCGTTCAGACGGAGCTACCCGCACGCCAAACCGCCCTACTCCTACATCTCGCTCATCACCATGGCGATCCAGCAGGCGCCCAGTAAGATGCTGACACTGAGCGAGATCTACCAATGGATCATGGACCTGTTCCCGTACTACCGGCAGAACCAGCAGCGCTGGCAGAACTCCATCCGGCACTCGCTGTCCTTCAACGACTGCTTCGTGAAGGTGTCGCGCTCGCCGGACAAACCGGGGAAGGGTTCGTACTGGACCCTGCACCCGGATTCTGGGAACATGTTCGAGAACGGCTGCTACCTGCGTCGCCAGAAGAGGTTCAAGTGCGAGAAGAAGATGTCGACGAAGTCGGACGGCAGGAAGGAGCAGGGGGGCGGTGGAGCGTCTCCTGCGGCGGACGCCATCAAACCTCCGGGACTCCTGGACTCTTCCTTGCCGTCCTCCAGCCAGGCGGCCTCTCCACCAGGCCTGGACCTGCGGGGCGGTGTGGGGTCGGACCTAAAGGTGTCTGGTTCCCAGCTGCTGTCCTCGCTGTCGCTGCCCCCCCACTCCATGGCCCACGAATCGCAGCTACACATTAAAGGCGACCCGCACTACTCCTTCAACCACCCGTTCTCCATCAACAACCTCATGTCATCATCGGAGCAGCAGCACAAACTGGACCTGAAGGCCTACGAGGCGCTGCAGTACTCCTCCTACAATGCCGGCGGGGCGTCCGGCCTTGGGGGCAGGACCATGGAGCCACTGGAGGCCTCCTACTACCAAGGGGTGTATCCCAGACCGCTGCTCAACACCTCGTAGCTGCCGCTGCACCTCCCGCCTGGACTCTCTGCATGCAGCCGTCCTGGACTTCCTGAGTGACTGTGATGAACCGGAGACTCTGGACTGAACTCCTGCACTGTGACCGAACCGGGACGCAAACAGACACCTGAACTCTCAGCCGGTTTACCTGGTCCCAGGTCTGTGGTCTCCTTTGACACACCGAGTCCCAAACAATCTGAAGGTATGAAAACATCGATGCAGGATCCCACAGGTCACCAGGTCAGACCAGAACCGTCGGCTCAGGATCTGTAGGAACCTGCTGATATTTGTCCAGAGTCCAACCAGTGATGTCAGAATCCTTTCCGGATCCAGTTTCCGGGATAGTTTCAATGATTCACTTTAAAGAACCCCAGAACAATTGAAAAGATGGTTCCTGGACACCTGAGAGTCCTGGTTCTGGTTCTGATCCTGGGTTTTGAGGTGTACATGAAAACTTGCGTCCTGTAACCTGTCTACTACATGTTATGCCTCCGTCTGACTGACCAAACTCCATTCAAAGTCCTGCTGATTTAATATGCGCTGCATGGAGGCGAATATTTGCTTTAATCAGAGCAGCTAAGATGAAACCACACCAAACTCCATTCAAAAATCAGTCGATTTCACACACACACACACACACACACACACACACACACACACACACACACACACACACACACATCTCAGATAATCAGCGTAAATCAGTGAGTGCTGCTGGTTAAAACAGCATTAAAACACAGATTTTCCGGATGGTTTCGATGATTCACTTTAAAGAACACCAGAACAAATGACCTGCTGGTCCTGCGTCCTGCATCCATCTAACAAATCAAACTCCTATCACACTTTGGATAATTTAATACCTGTAGGTGAATTCTGAGGATTAATTTAGGTATTTTTCTTAAATCACAGAAGCAAAAATGAAAGCAAACCAAAGTCCATTCAAATATCAGTCAATTTTGGAACACCTGTCGTAGTATAAACCGGTGAGTGCTGCTGATTAAAACACCAACTTCCTGAATAGTTTCAACAGTTTCAAAAGTCCAACAAGCTGCTGGTTCGTGGACGCCTCGGAGTCCTGGTTCTGATCTGGGGTTTGAGGTTTACATAAAAACTAGTGACCTGCAACCTTTTTTTGTGTCTCTAATTTAATATAGGAGGTAAATATTTGCTTAAATCAGAGCAGCTAATATGAAGCCAAACCAAAGTCCACTCAAATGTCAGCCGATTTTAGACACATTTCTCAGATAATCGGTGTTGATCAGTCGTTAATTTCCAGTCTGATGAGCATTCAAACTGTGAAATATTGAAACTGGCAGACTGGACATGAACCAGTAGAATCATAATGTGAGACTCTGGACCAGATGTTTATGTGCAGATTCAGGTTTTCATAAATCAGGACAAGACCTGATCGTGGTCTCTGAAAGATGTGAAGTTTATACGTACAAACTGGATATTTTAAATAGCGGCTCTGACTCTTCTCTGGCGATGATCTGAAGCCGTCAGTGTGTTCGGTTCTTCTGCTGTGTCCGTTTGTTCCCTGAGTTTGTCCTTCAGGCAGCACCTGTTAGCGGCTCGCTCTGATCTGATTTATATTTCACTTTAATCTGCTGCATCTTTCTGACAAACACAGCTTCTTCCAACCAGAGTTTATCTTCTTGTTCTATTTGTTTTTAAAGACACGCGGAGGAGAAAAAAAAAACTGCTGAATGTTTCCTAAAAAAAAAAAAAAAAGCAGCAAACTTCAGAAAAACATCTGAATAAAGTTTCTGTGGACCCGCAGAGGGCCGCGAGCCGCAGGTTGAGCTGCAGCGTTTGTTTGCGGTTTTGCCTCCCGATGAGTTGAAGGTCGGAGGTCAGCCGGCCGCGCGTCGTCATGGCGACGCTGCTGATGTTTACAGATTAATGAGGACGATTAATTTTTCCGATGAGGATTTATTTCTCCCACGACCTCGTCTGCCGCCGCGCTGACCCCCAGAGGGGTCGCGACCCGCAGCCTAAGAACCCGACACATTAAAAGGCTTTTGATTTGAAGGGTCAGTTCACCAGAAACCCTTCGACACGGATCCCCGCCCGCCGCCGCCGCTCGTCTGTGTCCGGGCGGATTTCTGATCAGCTTCTGTTTGATCTGTTCTGTTTGATGATCGATCGGTTCAACTCTCTGACAGATCAATAATCTGGGCCTTTATTTAGAGGCAGAATCTGAAAGTTTTCACTTTATTTCACAATTAAATATTTAAAAAATGTCCTGTTTATGTTTTAAACAGTTTCATATCCTCGTGAATGACTCCTGCAGTTTCCACTTGTTCTGGATCCATGTGTGGATTTTTATTTTATGACACAAACGCTCATGTTGTTCATTCTTTTGGACCAAAAACCCCAAACTTGAAATTATTCTGAATAAAAGACACTTTTTTAGGGGGAAATAATTTAAATTATTATGAAAACAGATGATTCATCAGTTCAGAAGTTTCTCTCTAAAAAAAAAAAAAAAAGTCATGTTTAGGTCACAAAAGAGAAAAATGGCATCAATGTTTAATTCAATGAAATTATGTTCAACCTACAAACTACATGGAGTTGTGTGAACTCAGCTTTTCATCTCCAATCAAAGGTCATTTTAATGACTGAATATCTTTAGATTCATCACAAATTAATTTGTTCCAACTATTTTCTGTTATTTAAAAGTAAGCTTCATGTGTTTTATCACCACGATCATGAAAACAAATGTTTAAAATGTTTTTAAAAAGTAAGTTGTTCCAATTAGATGTTCTTTTTTTCCTTTCTTGTCTTTTCTTTGTTCATGTGCACTCTAACGGAGGTACACGTTTATAGATTTGGATAAACTTTCAAGCTGCACACGTTGTTTTGATGAGTTGTGTTGATGTGACGATCATCACACCAACTTCATACTGTTTGTGGGTTAAACTCAGATTTCTGCCTTGTTTGAATTAAAACTAAATTTAAGTTGCAGCAAATTTATTAATTTGGCTTCATAACTTAAACTTTCTCCACCTTGAATTTCAAGCCAGTAAAACCTTAAAACTAGTGCTTAAGCTACCAGTTAATAAGTAATTGATTATTAAAACGACTAATTCATTGAACTCAATATGACTCATTGGTTGAATGTTTTTTCATTAGAAGTCGTCCGTTAACGTTGAACTGCAGTTTTCTGTTTCAACACTCAATATTTAAAGATCAGGAGCAAAAACAACACAGACTTAAATTATAACACAAACTATAAAAATTAAAATAACCAAGAAAAGAACTCTGGAGCTGAACTTCAGCTTCTTTGTCAACTCGTTGCTAATTTAAAGGATATATTTGGTCAAATCAGAACTAAAAATGTTCCTGAAAGTGGTGGAATCATATTTTAGAGGGTGTGAGATTCAAATGTGGAACCAAAACCAGATCTGCACCTAAACGTCTCGTCTGACTGTTCTCCATCTCTGCAGAGGCCTCACACTGGATCAGACTTTTCAGTTCTGTTTGTAAAAGTCCTCATTTGTAACGTCAGATAAGTGCAGAAACAACATCGGATGAAATTCAAATACTCAAATAAAGCAGAAATACCTCATGTTTGTTCTCCAGTGTGGAACCCAGGAGTCTCCTCGGATCATTTTCTGGTGCTCTGGACGTGTCACAGGCCCGCTTCAGGGAGAAATCAGATGAAACACATGCAGCAGGATCAGCTCACAACGGTTCTGCTTAAAGAAGGACAACCTTCATCAGTTCAGGTGTGAAAATTAAAATAAAAAAGGTTTAAAACTTATTTTGAAAATCCAAACAATGGGTCTGAATATCAGTCATGTATCAGGATAAAAAGCTTCACACCACAGAACTCGGCGACTTTAAACCTCTTCAGCTTCATTGTGTCACGTTCTAAAAGTAAAGAGTTAAAATCCCTCATTGTCAAACTGTACGGAGGCTGTCTGCAGGACCCTGAAGGGGCCGTGATGCGTTTACTGACCAGTAAAAGTTGAAACTTCAGTTTATTTTTCAACAGTGAAAACAGTTTGTTTGAACTAATGTTGGGATTTGATTTCAGATCATATTTTATAGTCACGTTTAGTTCAATATTCTCAGAAAAACAGGTGCTAAGTGGAACCAGAACTGGTTCCTCACAGTGCTGCCACACTCTGAGAAAAACAACGGTTCTTCAGCGGTTCTTTAATGGTTCTTCAGCAGTTCTTTAATGGTTCTTCAGCAGCTCATTGGTTCTTCAAACATCATTAACTGATGGTTCCTTATGTCCTGTATGTGGTTCTTTAAAAGGTTTTTCATGTGAGTTCTTTGGTTTGATGGAAGGTCACAGCATGAAGCTGGAGCTCCAGCTACGATTGTTTTCATTATCAATAAATAGTTTGATCGATAAAACATCACAAAACAACAAGAAACGTTCATCACAGATTCAGTGTCGTTCTGTCTGACCAAGAACCCAAAATATTAAACACGTTCCCGTGGAAGGAACCCAGACATGCTGGAGTGACTGAGACAACTACCAAGTCCAGTTATCAAACAGAACCACATGAGTCCACCAAGAATTGTCTTGAAAATAAAGAACCTATGTTTGCTAAAGTTTTGCGGTGCCCAATGGAACCATTTGTTGATGGTTCTTTGAGGAACCTTTGAGGGTTCTTTACAGAATCGTTTGAAGAAATGTTGCTAAAAGGCATTTTGTGAACATGAACATGGTTCCTCTATGGCACCACTGCCGAGAACCGTTTCTGGTTCCAGTTAGAGCCTTTATGTTTGTGTGTGGAGAGGAACCAAAACAACAACAACCTATTAGTGGTGGTAAAAGAACCGTTTGTTCTGACGGTTTATCAGCTGAATCACACATCATACTGATAATAACAACTTTGATCCTCGGCAACGTTCAGCGATTAGAGTTCTGCTCTTTACTTGGACTTGGACTTCGGCTAAAAGGAACATTCTTGGACTTTAGTTCCTGGACTTCAGCTCCAAAGAATTTTCCTGGACTTTGGTTCTTGGAATTTAGTTCT